TAAATAATATGTACATGGATTAAGCATACATACAGCTATTCAATTACACAAGATATACATAAGACAAGATGATAGGATAGTTTCTGTAAGGTAACTCTACGCAGGCGGAAGAAATGTACACAGCACACTACAAGTATCACCAGAGGAGAAATTTGACCAGAATGCACGTCATTCTTGAGGGTTGCGTTACTGATGATAGGTATGGTAGGCTATGCATAAAGAGATGAAATTGTTTTGCAAAACGTTAGTTCATCGATAATAATGTTTCTTTTAACTGCCAGTGACTCATCACAGTAGTAAATGTCAAGTTAAATGTACAAAGAAGGTCTGTTATAGTAACAGGTAATTTGCAGTTGTTCTAATCATGCAGTTATATCAAATAATCACCACAAGAACCCTTGGACACATTTAAAGTATAACATATACTTATCCACACCTGTAAAACTGGTGTGTCCTACATAGATAGGAATAAATAAATTATATCATCATTATATTTGTTCCTGTCTATGCAGGAACTTACTATCTGTATAGGTGTGGACAAGTTATTACTTAAGCCCCGAGGAACTGTTCTATTGCGTCAAATGGATGATAGTTCTTCAAAGTCGGCCATTACCGCCACTTGTCTATGCATGGCAGCCTATACGCGTAAACTGATTAAGGTGGAAATCAGATGCATCGTCATTTTAGATCGCGAATACTATTTTTACTGACCACAAACCTCTGTGCTATGCTTTCACTACTTCACTGGATAAACGCTCCCCAAGAGAAGCCAGACAGTTGGACTATATGTCCCAATTTTCAACTGACATACAGTACATCAAAGGGGACGCAAACGTGGTAGCTGATATTGGGATAGATTTAATTAGTGATGGTAACTCGCCCTGTCGTTTGTATATCAAAACATTTCTTTCATTTTAAGTCGTCTCTACTGGCTACCTATCATTAATTTATACCTTTCTGGGAAGTCTATTCCAAGGATTATGAGGTCCAGATCAGTGACACTGAGGACCGATGGAACTTGTTGCTTAAAACCATGATCTGTTGTCGATGTTTTCTGTCCAAAACATGCGGTGTGGATCTTATTAGTGGTCTAGAGCGTGACAGCGCACTTTTACCTCCCCTGCTTGGCCCTCGTGTCCGGTATGATGTTGAGTATGGCCCCTATGACAACGAAGAGGTCCACGCCCAAAATATTTCCTTGATATTTAATAAGTGACTGTCCGTATACCCCTTCTCAGCAGTCGTTATCTGAGAAAGGATCAATCGCTTCCCTGTTTCCTGTGAGATGGCTTTGGCAATGCACAGGAATGTGTAGCGCACCTTGAATGTTTGAACTTTTGTTTTAACTCATTCGTGTAATATGGTGTCGTGCCTTCACTGTGCTTTCTGCGTGACTGCTCGTACGTGGTTCACTCCCTCGTCACTAAGTGCACTCTTGAGCTTGCTACCCCAACCAGTTAACAGATAAGTTAGACAGTATTATTATTTATTAAAGTTGAGATTTTATGTTGTAAAAATATAATTCTCATCGGGGAACACTACCTATTCGCAAGCCTTTTTGCTTCGAGTTCGTTAATCAGTACTTACAGGTTGGGTAGAGTACTGACTAGGGTATTACAAGGAGAAGTCTTTAATAAGTGCAATTAACTTAAGTACAGCCAACCACTTACAAAAGAGGGAATTTCTTTGAATGTTCGCTAAATCACTAGTGATGCCAACGGAGTTACGCCGTTTATCTTCTTTTTCTGAACCTTCTTCCTAATATTTAACTTTTCTGTTAGGTGATCCACCTATACTGCTCTGTTTTAGAACGTGTTTGTGCCAGTGGTTTTGTTAGTCATCCAGTGTTAGCCATGAGTTCCTAGATTATTCGGTTGTTACTTATAGTGGTATGTTTTAGCTGCCCTTTTGTGATGTATCTACTGTCCAACATTTGAACTACGAAACAGGAGTTTGGTTACTGGGTATCTAGTGCATGGTACGCAAACTGTGGGGGTCTTCTTTATCTATACATAGATAAATAAAGAAGACTTGGTTTATTTATTCAGATTCAGATTTATTGGTTGAGAATAGAAGGCTTGGAGCCTATGTTAATCCTTTTCTAGTAAATTCCTGTTCTTGTCCAAACCCTTCTTGAATGAATCAGTTGAGGTTGCAGACACCACTTCTTCTGGGAGTTGGTTCCAAGAGTTCATGACTCGGTGTGAGAAACAGTACTCAATAGCGATATGATTTCTTCTTGGCTTTCGAACTCTCCTGCTGTGTCCTCTAAGGCGTTCCGATCTGGTCGCGGGGAAAAGAGAGAATAGGTCAGGTCCATAGTCGTTGTCTACAATTTTAAAAGATGTTGTAATGAGATCTCTGCTTACGGTATGATAGGGAGAAATGATTTAAACTGTCAAATCTTTCCTCGTACGATACGTTAGTCATGCCGTGAACCATACGTGTTGCCTTCTTTTGAACTCTCTCTAGAATGTGTGGGTCCTTTTTTAGACAAGGACTGGCGGCCTGGATGTAGTTTTCCAGTCTTGACCTCACCAGAGATGTATATGAGGAGGTGAACATATCTCTGGTGATTCTAGTAAAGACTCTGCAAATTGCCCATAATGACCTGAAATTACGTGCAGCCACCGCGCGACAGTGTGCTGTAGTTTTTAAGTCTTGGCTAACTATGACACCTAAGTCCAGTTGAGTTTGAACTGATGGAGGTGTTGTTTCCTCTAGTTCGTAGGAGCTGGTGCTTACTTGTCCGATGCGCATGGTTGCACGTTTTGCCACATGTATCCGGAGCATCCATTCTGTGGACCACTCTGACAATCTGTTGAGGTCCTCTTGCAACGTGGACGTGTCACTGTTGCCCTTCAGCTCTCTCCAAATTTTTAAGTCATCTGCGTATAGGACCATAGGGGAATCGGTGAGCAGAGATAACTCATTGATATACAAAATAAATAGGAGAGGTCCAAGTACCGTGCCTTGTGGCACTCCGCTGCGTACTGCTGTCCAAGAGGAGAGTTTCGAGTTGATCCTAACCCTCTGCCTCCTATCTATGAGGAATTCCCTGAGCCAGTTTAGTAAGCTGCCTTTGATACCAAGACTTTCCAACTTCATGAGTAGTCTTTTGTGAGGTGATTTACCAAAGGCTTTGCTGAAGTCTATGAAGACGACGTCAACGGGTCTTCTGTTGTCCCTTGACTTGACCCAGCTTTCTCTTGCAGTGAGGAGATTTGACAGGCATGAGAGGTTTCTTCGGAAGCCATGCTGTGCTCTGGATAACAAGCTGCTGTTTTCCGGATATGCCATGACTCTTTTCTTGATGATTCTCTCCAGTGTCTTAATTAAAGTGCTGGTGAGACTGATAGGCCTGTAATTTGAAAGGCTTTGTCTTGATCCTCCTTTGTGGATGGGGGTTACTATGGCGTCTTTCCAGTCACGCGGTGACACTCCATTTAGAAGAGAGAGTTGGAAGATCGTGGTCAAAGGGCCGACTATGTGAGCTGATAGCTCGTGGAGAAGCCTTGGATGAAGATTATCAGGACCCATTGATTTCCCTGCATCTAGTTTCATTAGGCAGTTGAGCATGATGCTTTGGTTGGTGTTAACGGAATCTATCTGCCAGAGCTGATCCTATAGGGAGTAATGACTCCTGAGTGAAGACTTGGGAGAAGTAGTCTGCCATTACTCCCGCTGTTCCTTGATCTTCTTCGATTGTATCATTGTCAGTAGTCAGGTTTGGAACACCATTGGATGTTTTACTCCTGAAGTTCATGTACGAGAAAATTTTCTTAGGTTATGGCTTTGCATTTTGAGCCAGATGTGCTTCGAACTTCATCCTTGATTGGCGAATTTCTGCAATAGCTTTGTTCCTAGCAGTGTTGTATAATTTCCTGGTTTCAAGAGTCTCAAGTGTGGCAAACGAGTTCCAACATTTGTGATTACGTCTGAGTAACTTATGAATCTCCCGGTTTATCCAAGGGGGGCAATGTTTCCGACCCTTTTGGACAGACCAAGGGATAAAAGGTCCAGTTAATGGATGGGAGTAAAGCTGTTTAAATTGGTAACTCTTCTCTTTCTTCTGAGTCCTTAAGTCAGTAATTTTCTCCAAGTAATCACGGTGTTATATGTTTAAATAGACTCGGCAGTATAACGGCTTTTGTCTGTTGACTGTACTGTAAGATTCCCTTGAGAAAGGAAATTTGCAATTCCTACAGTGCCACTGTACCTGCGGGTTTGCTGTCTCTGGAATTCCTTACCGGCAGATGTAGCTATGGCACCGTCTGTGGACACCTTTAAGCGAAGGCTGGACAACCATGCAGCGACACAAGGACTGCATCCAAATGGCCTATCCCCTTAAAATCGCATACACCATTCAAGAGTAGGCAATTAAACTTGTCGTTTTACTTCTTTACATTCTCTTCCATCTTGCTCTCCTGACGGCTTTAACTAAACCTATTATTATTATCATTATTACCGGTTGACTGACTGCTGTTACGTTTTCTTATTCTTTTTCTGTCTGTTACTCTGAATACTTTCATTGATTATATCTATTATTGTCTCTTTTCTTTTGACGACGATACCGAAGGACCAACTCGTGAAAGGATCAACTCCATTCACAGTAGTAACAGTCTTAACACACTTCATACTACAAACCACATATAATTAATCCCTGCACTACTCCTTTTGGAGTCAACCAAAGCTACGATAGTCGAGTGGCGGGAGGAGCTACGCAGACGTTTACCGAAGATCAGGAACCTATACCTCACAATCAAGAGGCGAGCACAAAGAAATCAAATTAGTTTATACTAGCTCGTAAAAACGATATTGGATATTGGAGACAAATTGTTCATCCCACGAAAAGTAAAATAGTGCAGTGAGTTAAGCAAAGCTGCAGCAGCCGAGGCATGTCAAATATCTAAGGCCGTTAGGAGAAAACAAGAAACGAGTGCAAACAAATCATAAGATTTATACAAGCTCATCAAGAAGATATTGGACATTTGCGGGGAGTGCCGCTGTTTTCGTAAGCAGCGCTACATCAGTTGATTGCAGACCTTAAAGTCACGTCCAAAAATAGACATGTAGGTTGTCTTATCACAGTTAAATTGCATTTTTGTCTAATTTCATATTCGGTCGGCTGAAAGTCTCTCGTGCGTTCGCATCCCTTGAGACGCTATTGCTGAACTTTGCCAACTATATATCTTGAAGTAATGGGTTAGGTAACCAGTCAAAGAAGCTTATCGCTCCTCTATTGTCGAGATTTTACGGCACTCGTGGCGGTTCATGAGTTTTAGGGAAATTTTAGGGTTTTCATGGTTATTATAAGGGTATTCAGGGGGTGGGAAGTATCATGCATTTCTCTTAGATTCCTCCCCAATGTTTACATTGATTTGCCTCCAAATTATATAAATATATGAACTATAATTTGTAAAGGTATACTCTCACATTTTTTACTTGCATCAACCAGCGGAAACATCAGACAGAAGCCTCTGGAAGCAAACGGGGGTGCAGGACTTGAATACCCCAATTTTCTGAGGGTTTGTTTTACAAACTTAACAGAAATCGACGAGGTCAAAGTACCATAGCCAAAGTGAAGGTCTTTCAAAGTTGACCTTCCAAATCAAATCATGTCTGCCTTTTTGGACTTCGAGAGGATAGTTACAGTATTCTCCTTATTTACTAGGTACTTTTTCTGCAAATTTATACTGTTAGGTAGACTTATGGCCTTTAAGATTAAGGTTTAAGTCCTGTAGTTAAGGTTAGGGTTAGGAGTAGATTGGAGAATAATGTCAGAAATATGAATGGATCTCTAAGTACCATGACCTACAGCCACCTGGATGAATGGATGTATCATGCATGGTGCGATTTCTCCACGGACCATCTGTATATTGACTGGGAGACATTCGCACAACACATAAACTACAACTATACAGTGTAATATAAAGTTTTCAATATTAATTTAGTGCATTTTGTATCCGAATTCTGATTGGTCGTCCAAGGTCACTGCGGTTTTGTTTGAAGTGCAATCGCTGCTGCACTTCGTGCCAAGTTCTATTGGTTTTGGCTATGATAGTTTGACTTTGCCCTAAACTATATCGCATGATTCGCAGTATCTCATTACGTGAAAATGGTGGATGTTAATTTATTGAAGTGCGAAAACTTCTAAATATACCTAAGATGTGTGCAGTCCGGTGGAAATTATTACCAGCTCTGTGGTTATAAATATAGTCTTCGACCTTAAGTGGTTTTTAATAGCATTCAACACTTCTGTGATTGCCCTACTAATGAACGTTTTGTTATCTTTGCTAAAATTTTGGCCCTACGGTTCTTTTTTTAACCCGGTTGATCATTTAATATCGGAGTCGTTTATTGTTACTTTGGCAGTTTACTCCGTCTCTGGCATAGACGTGATATCCGGCTGGCTGTCGACTGAAGGGTGTGTGTACTGCTCAGCAGTCCGCTCTATCCTCCTTTATGGATGGCTGTAAGACCGGCCATTGAGAGTGGAAGACATGAAGAGGTTAGCTAGCTGTCTTTGATGATAGGTGCCTGCGTTCTATCTCCCGTGTTAAGTGGTGGTATAATAAAGTGAGCGATATCGAGGTTAGGCATCAGTCGAGTGCTCGGTAAGGAGAGGAAATCAACTGACGATGCTGTAAAGTTACATTGACTGAGATGGTTAGGACATGTGTTACGCATGCTAGTCTAACTATCGCCTTCCTCGACTGGCAATGTTAACTAACTGACATCGGATTGATCACGTTGGAAAAGAGCTAGTTAGTCGTGGTCAAGCCAAAACATGGCTTCATCAGTCAATCAAATCCACAACAGTTAGTTTAAGCCAACTAGCCAAGTAGGGAGGTGTAGATTTCCTGACTGGTTGGGGTCCTTGGGACGGTAAAAACCAGTGAAGGCTGGAGACAATTGGTGATATAGCTCAAAATTCTCGTTCTCAATGGTTGGCACAGATGCATCCACTCCTTGTGACTTATAATATCCAATAAAACTATGTTGTTCTTCGATATTACTATTCTTTTTGCCTCATATCTCTGTTTACTGTCTTTAGTTTGCATTTCTTTTTACTTTCTTCCCTTGTTTTTTGTGGTACATGGAGGGAGTGTGGCGACTCGAACTGGTGCAGATAGGTGGAAAGTTCTATGTTGAAACCAGTCAATCAGTCTGGTTAGCGCTGTAGATAGTAATACTTTTTAAAGCTAAATCTGGTGTCTATTAAGTAGCCTGTTTCGGTCAGTTGTACATACATTACTGTTTATTTATTTACTTTTTTACCTGAAGAGACACAAAGTTGGAGCTGACTGTAAAGTGGGTGCTCATAATCTAACAAAATTCCTTTAGCAAATTGTTTGCATGACATCAAGTGCCTATCAGTGACAATGTCAAGGATATGACCTAATGGGATACCAATCGCCCTACTGACCGACAGTCTTCAGAGTTCTACGAAGTATGACATAGTCTTTTTTAAGCAATCCAGGAAAGAATAAGCAGTGGTGAACAGTAAAGAAGAATAGGTAAAATACACGAGTTGACAAACCGTAAGAGGAGAGGTTGAGTTATGCCTGAGTGCCTCAACTTTTTAATGTAAAAAGTCAGACGAAATATTCTTTTAGAAATCGCTAAGACCTGGGAAGACCAGGATAGGTCAGTAGAAAGAATTAATCCAAGATACTTAAATTCAGACTTAATTTCTATATCATCACTATCATCAATTTTGCAACGGTCATAGGAACCAACAGCTTCATTTAAATTTATTTTACATCGGAAACTGAAATTAACAGTGTGACATTCGGAAGGATGTAGTTTAAGGCCATTAGACGAAGACCATTTGCTATGGCAGGTCGCGAAGAGTGAGTGTTTCTGCACCACTGAGAACGATTTTCTTCCTTCATTGGTTCTTAGAATCCCGAGGACACCAACTAGGTGGTCTCCGCCTCCCTACGTGGCTGGCTCAAACTAATTGTCAAAGATTTCACTGACTGATTCTAAGTTTTGGTTTGACCACCACTAACTAGCTGGTTTCCAACCTAATCCTACAGATGTTAGCTAACGTTGCCCGCCGAGGAAGGCTATAGTAAGGCGTGTGTAATACATGTCATAGCCATGTCAATCTATGTAGCTTCACAACCTCATCGATCAACTTTCCCTCCTTACCTAGTTAGTACTTGACTCCTAACCTGAATGTTACCGTATTATGCCACCTAACACATGAGACAGAACGCAGGCACCTATAATCAAAGAAAGGTAGCTAACCTCTTCATGTCTTTCACTTTCAATGGCCATGTCTCACTCACAGCCATAAAGGAGGACGGAGCGAACTGGTGCTGCACAATACATATATCCTTTAGTCGACAGCCAGCCGGATATCACGTCTACTAAGCCAGAGATGGCGTAAGCTGGCTGACGAATCTGATGTATCCTTACTGAGATTTCGTCAGTGATGAACCCGTTGGCGCTGGTTGATGCAATTTCCCAAATAATTGAAATGGTGGTCAACACGCTCTACCAATTTACTCCCTATTTTTAAAGCTAGGAGATATGGTAGTTAGCGAAAAATTGGACAGTTTGAACTGATCTGGCTCTCTGAGGTGTTGAACTCAACTCTGAAAACGAGTGAAACGACCGTCTAATGGTCGGTTGAATAGTAAGCAGACTGCTGATGCTCAGGAAGGCTTCGTGTGGTTTTGGAATTGTGTGGGCGGTTGTTACTTCCCGGCTGCCCACACTGTGGAAGTTGACTGAATCTTCGAGTACCTGAAACAGAAAGAGAGTTAGTGTTACGTGACCGCAGAACTCAGGGGACAACTGTTTGAGGCCGGTCCCACATGGCCTGTATGAACTAGTTTCTTGGATTGGTTCCGTATTAGTAAACTTACCGCCGGTTACGGACCACCGTAGGTAGGGTAAGTCGGGATGTACAATTGTTGGGGTCGACCTTTTGCTAACGGCCACTCTCCAGAGTGGCGAGACAGCATAGCTGGCTGGTATGTTGGTCATCTGAGGGAAACACCTTACTGCGGTTGTTAAATCCCTGTTCCCCAGCAGTACGACTTTGCCCAAAGACCCAAAATTCTTACACTGTGCTGGTAACTGCTTTTAGTCTAATCGCTATCCTAACAATCTGCTTGGCATGGTAGGACCTGCTGGACACAATAGTTCTAGTCAGTGTAGCTCGACCGAAAGCTGCTACCTTGACGTGGTGGTCGGGCTTGAACACCGAAATGACCCAACAAGCTATACTGGCTGAGACTTACATCGCTTGAGGTCCTACCATGCCAGAAAGATTTTTTGGATAGCGGTTAGACAAAAAGCTGCTACCCAATCAAACAAAATCACAAAATATCATGCCGGATCCGTCGGGGCCCGGATTAACAACGACCGCGTTTCCTGCTGCCATGTCACAGGGCAGAAGTGATAAATATGCTACTGAGACACACCAAACAAAAAAAGAACAAACAAAAACAGGTCGTGTGTGACCTGCCTCAAGCAGTTGTCCCCTGGGCTCTGCGGTCACGCATACAACTTCCACGGTGTGGGCAGCCAGGAAGTGACAATCGCCCTCACAATTCGAAATCCGAGACAGTGTAGCTTATTGGTTCATTGCAATATGCAAACCGGACGACCACCACGTCAAGGTAGCAGCTATCGGTCGGGACACTACTGATTAATCTAAGTGGTATCAAACTACTCATCCCACAATCAATAAGTAGTATATACCATCAAGTTTTCTTGATTTGTATGCTGCCAAGCAGATCCGATTAATTTCGGTCTCCAAAGGAAACTGTGGTGAAATTTATCCCCCCGCGTCCTCGAACTTTGCAAATTGCAAATTCTGAATTTGTCTTGTGATAGCTACTTAAAATTATGTTGTCTAATTCTTAAACTACTACTAATTGTTTTGCTTTTCTACAATTTCAGTAATCATTGCAGTTTATAATGAAATCTGGAGTGTTGTATAGCCTTCGACTTCGCATATTACATAACTAAAAGGGAATCGTCACCATAGAAAACGTGTGTTGTTGCTGTAATGAATTATCTCTTTTAAAGAAAGCGGAAGAAAGCCGGCTCCTCCCCTTCGCCTTCACTTATCAAAAGAAATTGTACCACTGTCAACCAATCACTGTGCCCAGCGCCTTTATTTCCCCTCCCCCCGCCGCTCATTAATCGATACATACACACATTCATACGTACGTGTATATTTACATATTCACAATGTCTGAAGAGAGTGAAAAACCTCGAGAGATTTTATCCTCCTATGATGAGATATTAGAAATTACAGGATTATTGCCCATCTGTGATAACAGAAAGTCATATGTCGGTGATGATGACAAAGAAGATAAGGAGAATTCCTCTCCACAAGGTGATAATAATGATGGTGGTAATGGTGACAATATTCTTCGTCGTGCAGGCGGTGTCAGTGATGATAATGATGATGATGAAGCTATAGTACCGGTACTGTCCACTATACAACTACAACGTGGTTCAAGTTTACTGTCGATTACAGCGGATGAGAATAATACCACAAATGTACGCACGATTTCAATTGCAAAAACAAAAAATAATGATGTTGGATTTATGTTTACTGAAATAAAACAGGTAGGAATATAATAATAATATCTCTGGCACTCTTCTTTACTCTTTTGTTCAGTGTCTTGTAGCTTGCTTGCATTCAAATCGGTGCACTGGAGAATCTTTTGTTTCACCACCCCTCTCTCTTCTATCAGTCTCCAAATGTCCGTAGTGAGCCACTGTTTGTCCTGTCTCTTCTTTCTGCCTAGAACTTTCATGCAGGTTTGACTTCACACTGTTTTCAAGTTGTTCCAGTGCTTTTCGACGCTGACCTCTTCGCCAGTGTTGATTTGTGTCTCGGCTTTGTCCTATATGCTTGCAGTGAAAATGTCCTTTTGTGTCTTGGTCCTTCAGTTTTTGAGTGTTGAACTTGGCTTGTGGTCTGTCTGCAGCTCCTGTTTCTCTGAAAGCTTTTAATTTCATTTGGATTGTCCCTTGTACGAGATAGTGGTCTGAGCCAATGTCTGCTCCTCTTCTTACTTTCGTGTCCAGCAGGCTGCGCATCCACTTCCTTGAGCAGCATTGAGATGAAGTCGATTTGGTTTTTGGTTCGCCCATCTGGTGACACCCATGTAGCCTTGTGGATATCCTTGTGTTTGTATACGCTGCCACCAATCACTAGTTCATTGAAGGCGCAGAAGTCGGCGAAGAGTTCTCCATTTTCATTCATTTCTCCGAGAGCTTCTCTACCCATGATGAGTTCCCTTCCTGTGTTGTCTGGTCCCAGTTTGGCGTTCATGTCTCCCATTAGTATTTTAATGTCACCAGCTGGAGTATTGTCCATTGTTGCCTGTAGTTGTCTGTAGAATTCTTCTTTCTTTTCGAGGTCTGCGTTGTTTGTCGGTGCATAGCATTGTATAACTGACACTTTCCTTCCTTTGGAGTTGAATCTGGCGGTCATTATCCTGGGCGAGATCGCCTCCCATTGCATCAGGGCCTTCGTTGCCGTTGGTGACATCATGATAATAATAATAACAATAATTGTATTGTATTATTATTATTGTTTGTTTGGCTATCGATCAAAGGGCGTGTGTACTGCTCAGCAGTCCGTTCCTTCCTTCTTTATGACTGGCTGTGAGACCTGGCCATTGAGAGTGGAAGACATGAAAAGGCCGACTAGCTGGCTGTCTTTGACCATAGGTGTCTGCGTTCTATCTCCCGTGTGAAGTGGCGTGGTATAATAGGGTGAGCAATATTGACGTTAGGCATTGGTCGAGTGCTAGGTGAGGAGGAGGAGGGGAAACCAATCAATGAGGTTGTAAAGCAGTCACACTGATTGAGATGGTTAGGACATGTGCTACGCATGCATGCCTAGCCAACGCCATGAATGGATCAGACTGGAAAAGAGAAAGCTAGTGGTAGTCAAACCAAAACATGCCCTCATCAGTCGATCAAATCCACAACGGTTAGTTTAAGCCAGTTACGTAGGAAGGTGTAGACTCCTGGCTGGTTGGGGTCCTCTGGACGGTAAAAACCAATGACGGCTGGTGACAATTGGTGATATGACTCAAAATCCTTGTTCTCAATGGCTGGTGCAGATGCATCCACTCCTTATGATTTATAATACGCAATAAAACTATATTGTTCTTCGATATTACTAATCTTTTTGCTTCGTATATCTGTTTACTGTCTCTATTTTGCATTTCTTTTTACTTTTTTCCCTTGTTTTGTGTGGAACATGGAGGGAGTGTGGCGACTCGAACTGGTGCACTTCGGTGCAAAGCAGTTCTATGTTGAAACCAGTCAGTCAGTCAGGGCGGCTTTTGTGGTCTAGGATTCATGGATTTTGCAATAAATCGTTCTGGGTAACAATTCTAGACTAGGATTCTCTTGAGGTTGTCTAGTTCGTCTTCTATGGTATCCGGGGTTCAGATTCTGTGAACTCTGTAGCTAAGTGAATGGATTAGGTTTCGTTTGGTGTCCGTTCTATGTCGACTTTCTGTAGATAGATCTTTTCAGTGTTCCGTCGTGTTAGTTGAACGTCAAGAAAGGATATTTTCGAGTTAGACTCTTTCTCTAACGTGAACTGAATCACGGAATGGCAGTTGTTTAAAGAATTCGAGATGTCGTCTAGATTTTCCTCATTGTTGACGATGAAAACTCTGTCTGCTAGCCAAAATTGCAGGCAACAATTTACGTCAATGTTTACATCCCGAATCGGGATCATGAGAAAAAACAATAATAATAAAGCTTAACTAACCTTGAGGAACTCACCGACCAATCACAGCACACTTGACGTGTGCAAATACGATTCGCAGATATATGGCTTAACTTTCTAAGAAATGGTCGGTCACAAGCAGTACAGAATAACCTTCAGCAAGAAAACAACCAATCAGAAGACGTTGCTTCTCCACTGACAATAACGCTAATAATAATGTACATAAAAATCTATAAATATCTGTTGATTTTCTTAATAAACGGTCTGTTTAGACAAAGCAATAAGAGGACGTAATTTGTCTGTCTGAATCGTGTGTGTAATGTGGTATTTGCGCAACACATTTCGAACAATCTGATCCATCACACACGGACTTATCATAGGAACATACATATGAAATTAATAGAGTTAAGAGGTGAGAAAATAGACTTAGGTCAAGTTTAAAGGACATATTCAAGGTCAAAATAACAATGAAGATCACTAAACCAAATAACAGAGGTAATAGTCCATCTATCCTGACTGGTATCAAAACAAAGTTTACCAAGGAAGGCGGTTTAGTGTGATGTCGAATTGTTGCTTTCAACGCATAAAGATGGTTTAAACTTTCTAATCGCCAGTAAGGGCTTCCACAAACTTTAGGATACGCCCCAAACACGTTTTATAGATAGGTTTAAAAGATGTGTTAACGTCAATTTTATGTCCTGTCATACATCTTTTAAACCTATCTATAAAACGTGTTTGGGCGTATCCTAAAGTTTGTGGAGGCCCTTACTGGCAATTAGAAAGTTTAAACCACCTTTATGCGTTCAAAGCAGCAATTTGTCATCAGACTAAACCTTCCTTGGTAGATTTTGTTTTGATACCAGCCAGGGAGGATGTACAGTTGTAACAACAGAAGACAGGGGCCAGGTAACAGATCCTTTATTAAGGAAAATCAACACATATTTATAGATTTTAATGTACATTATTGTTAGTAGAAAATACAGTCTTTTGATTGGTTGTCTCTCGCAGAAAGTTGACCTTGCATCTCTTTGTGGCTGTGTCAGATCATCCATATGCTAACTGTATTCGCCTACACAAAGCCTTTGTTCTCATTTTCTCACCACCAATATTAGGGACATAAATTATTATTATTGTTTCCTTTAATTCCTAGAGGAACATAGGGCTTCAGCCGTGCGTCTCCATTGCCTTCGGTTCTCTGCTAGAGTCTTCACCTGACTCCAAGTCTGCCCATACGTTTTCATCTCCTCTTCACATGACCTCCTTCAAGTCACCCTTGCACTGACGACCAACTCGCTGCTTCCCTTTCGGGTTCCACTCGAACAATGGCTTGTCTAGTGATGTCACTTGATGGTTTCCTCAGAATATGGCCAATCCATCTCCATTTCTTCCTACCATTTGTTTCACAATCGGTTCCTGCTGATTTGGTTCGCTCCTAGAAATCTCTGTTGCTGATCTTTTCTGGCCATCTGATCTTGAGTATTGAGCGAAGACAACTGCTAATGAAGGTCTGTAGTTTGTTTGAGATGCTCTTTATGACGCGCAGTGCAAGTCTCTGATCCGTATAGTAGCACTGACTGACTTCACATTGGAGTTGAAAATCCGGATCTTATTTTTGATGCTGAGCAGGGCTGTTGACCTCCACACAGACTTGAGAGTAGTGAAAGCTTGTCTTGCTTTTCCGATTCTGGCTGCTTTGATATCCTCGTCAGTTCCATCGGCCTGTAGTTGAAACGATGCTTCCCAGGTAGGTGTAGGTGAAAGAGGTTGTTTCTTTCAGGTCCCTCCCATTTATGCTGATCGTTGTCTGTTGTTGTTGTTCTTGCCCAGACATAAACATTGACGTCAATTACTGTCTACCAACTTTGGCTAGCAGCCAGCTCTCACCACGCAATTACCTCTGTTATTTGGTTTAGTTGTCTTCATTGTTATTCTGGCCTTCAATATGTCGGTTTTTTAACTTGACCTAAGTAGTCTATTTTCTCACCTCTTAACTCTGTATTAATTTCATATATATACAATCCTATGACAAGTCCGTATGTGATGGATCAGATTGTTCGAAATGTGTTGCGCGCAAATGCAACCTTACACACACGATTCAGAGGAATTACGTCTTCTTATTGCTTTGTCTAAATTCATAAAGGGAACTAATTGTTTTAAACGATCTGTTGCCTGGCCTTTGTCCTCTGTCGTTACCCTATCTCGAAACCAGTTAGTCGGTTAGTCAGTTGGGTCCTAACTAATAATCCACAAGCACAAACGATGAAATTCTTAAAATGACAAATCTTTATCTATGCATAACTTTTTATTACTGTATATTCTCTATACCTTCAATGTGCCTTTCCCTGCTTTCTGTGTTTCTCAGGGCTTATTTGTTTCACATGTCGATGAAAGATCTTCAGCCAGTTTGAATCGAGTACGTTTCGGTGATAAAATACAATGCATCAATGGTATTGAAGTGACATCGTATTCTCAAGCGAAACAATTAATTGAAAAAACACATCCAACTGTAGAATTTTCAATAATTGATTGGTAAGTGTTTTAAGCGTTGTGGTGGTTTGTCGGGAGTTTCATTGATTTTTTTAAAAACTGACATGGGCTGGTGCCAGTCACGCTAAAATCACCGATTCCACCAGTGGCTGAATGGTCTATGGGTTTGCCTTGTAACTGGAAGGTTCTGGGTCCGACCTCCGGTGGCGGGCTCGTACCGCTAAAGAGTCCAGAATTGGGACGAAACGGCTGTCTCTGGTTTCCAGTGGTTTTCTAACTGATATCAATCCGTGGTTAAACTTGAAGCATGTACTCAGATAGTTAGAAAAATCAATGAATTGTGAAGTCTGGATAAGCACAGGTGTCAGCAGACTACCAACTTTGTCTATAGCAAAAAACATTTCATTGATATGAATCACAAGATTGATGCCAAAACATCTGTTAAGGTTATTTATGAAAACAGTCAGGGGGCACTTACTGACATCTGCTGAGGCGATCGCTATTCGTTAACTTAAGCTATATATATATATATATATATATATATATATATATATATATATATATCCTCATTTGATAATCATAGAAGGATCAGCCTAACGAACATAGTCTCTAAAATCCTAGGCTCAGTAATCATGAACAGACTAAGCAGAACTCGAGAGGAACAAACGAGGGAAAATCAAGCGGGCTTTAGGCCAGGTAGAGGGTGCATAGATCATATCTTCACTCTCCGACAGATCCTAGAACATAGATACACTTTTCGGCCTCCAACAATTCCCATATTTCTTGACTTGAAGGCGGCCTTCGACTCCGTGGATCGAGAGGTACTATGGCAATGTTTGACTATGAAGGGAGTGCCAAGAAAGTACATTGCACTAATCAAGGCACTCTACTCAAACTCACGTAGCCGTGTAAGGGCTTATGGGGAATTGTCATCTGAATTGATAACAACCAGTGGTGTCCGTCAGGGATGTCCACTTTCCCGATTTCTGTTTAACTTCATCATATATATGCTAATGGAAGTATCCTTAACTGAACTTAACGACTTAGGAATCGACTTATTACCAGGGAATAGTCTTATAGACTTAGAATATGCAGATGACATAGTCCTGTTAGGGGAAGATGCTGACAAAATGCAGAGTCTTCTGAACACCTTGAGCAGCAATCTTCGAATGTTTGGCATGCGATTCGCCCCTGTAAAATGTAGGATGCTGCTACAGGACTGGACTACGTCAACTCCAAGCTTAGTGATAGGGAGTGAAGTGATAGAACATGTTGGCCACTTCACCTATTTGGGAAGTTGTATCAGCACCGACGGATTGATTGGTGACGAAATCTCAGCACGGATCCGAAAAGGTCGGGCTGCTTTCGCTAACTTACACCATCTCTGGCGTAGGCGTGATATCCGGCTGTCAACCAAGGGACGTGTGTACTGCTCAGCAGTTCGCTCCGTCCTTCTCTTTGGCTCTGAAACATGGCCAATACGAGTTGAAGACATGAAAAGGTTGACTGTTTTTGATCATAGATGTCTACGATCTCTTTCTCACGTTAGGTGGTATAGTAAGGTAAGTAATGTTGACGTTAGGCGTAGAGTGTTGGGTAAAGAGGGAAAATCAATCGACGAGGCTATAAAGTTACATAGATTGAGATGGTTAGGTCACGTGCTGCGCATGCCTAACCATCGCCTCCCCCTCTCGACGGGCATTACTAGCTGATATAGGTGCAGGTTGGAAAAGAGTAAGTGGTGGCCAAACAAAAACATGGCCTCATCAATCCATGAAATCCTTGACAGTTAAACTGAGTCAGGTAGGGAGATGCAGACTTCCGGGTTGGGGCCAGCCCTCGGGACTCTAAGAATCAATGGCTGGAGACAGTAGGTGACATGGCTCAAAATCGTTGTCAATGGCTTACGCAGATGTATTCAGTCTCTGTAATCTTTCATATTCCTTTCTGCCATTACTCATTCTGTTTCACGCTTATACTTGTCAAAACTCTATTGGTTCTTTTCACTCGTCTTCTTGTCTATTTGGAACGTGGCAACTCGAACTGTTGCACTTCGGTGCCAAGATCTATGTTGAATCCAGATGTATATATATATGAATTACTATACTGACTGACGCACTGACTGATTGGATTCAATGTAGGACTTTGCACCCATGTGCACCAGTTCGAGTCGCCATACTTCCTCCTTGTAACACGCAAAGCAAGGAAAGAAAGTAAAAAAGAAATGCAAACTAGAGACATTAAACAGAGATATAAGGCAAAAAGAATAGTAGCATTATGGAAGAAGGTTACAGTTTTATTGGATATTATAAATCACAAGGAGTGGATGCATCTGCGCCAGCCATTGTTACTGGTTGTTGCCACCCCGAGGTTCCTAACTAGGAAGTCTACATCTCTCTACGTGACTGGCTTAAACTAACTGTTGTGGATTTCATTGATTGATGAAGCCATGTATGGTTTTGACCACCACTAGGCTTCCCTTTCCCAACCTGACCCATCCTATGTCACCTAACATTGCCCATTGTCGAGGAAAGTGGTGGCTAGGCATGCCTAAGTAACATATGTCCTAACCATTTCAATCAATTCGACTACTTCACATCCTCGTCGATTAAATTTTCCCTCCTCCACTCGACCGGTGCCTAACCTTGATATTATCATTATTGTTCCCTTGGGTTCCTAGTGGAACATAGGGCTTCAACTGCACGTCTCCACTTGCTTCTATCTTCTGCTGTACTTTTCACCTGCATCCATGTTAGTCCATACTGTTTCAACTCCTCTTCACACGATCTTCTCCATGTCACCATTCGACGTCCCACTCGCCGCTTCCCTTTCGAGTTCCACTCGACCATTGGCCTGACGCGCGATGTCACCCAGAGGCCTCCTCAGCTAACGAGTGTCCAATCCATCTCCACCTTCTCCTGCATATTTGTTGAGCGATTGGTTCTTGTTTTGTTTGTTCCCATAGTTTCTTGTTGGTTCTTGTTCTTTCCGGCCATCTGATCTTGAGTATAGAGCGAAGACAGTTGTTGTTGATGAAGGACTGCAACCTGTTGGAGATATTCTTTGTGACCCGCCAAGTTTCTGATCCGTATAGAAGAACTGACTGACTTGACGTTTGTATTGAGAATCCGAATTTTGTTGTTGATGCTGAGTTGAGTGACGAAGATTTCCAGATTGGATTCAGGTTGATGAATGTGTTTCTCGCCTTCCCATCCTCGTCCGTTCCTCCTGTAGTTGAGACAATGCTCCCTAGATAAGTAAGTGAATGAAGTAACCTCTTTCAAATCCTTCCCGTTGATGGTGATTGACACTGAATGTTGCTAGTGTTGTTTTTGTTGTTGGTTGGTTATTTTCATAACCTCCGTCTTGTCTATGTTCACCTGGAGTCAGTCCTGTTTTTGCTGCTTGTTCGACCAGTTTGTCGGTTTTCGCTTGTTAGTGTGTTACATCAAACATAAATCATCCACGCGCGAAATCTAGGTCTTCTAGATTCTTCACGTCGGTCGGTCCAGGATATCCCTGTCTTCTCGTTTCCCACTGTCTGACGCATAATCCAGTCCACCACCTTGAAATCTCTCACCTTATTATACCCCCTGACATGGGAGATGGAAGGGAGGCACCTATGATCAAAGATAGCTAGCTGGTCTTTTCATGTTTTGCACTTTCATTGGCCATATCTCACTGACAGCCATAAACCAGGACAGAGCTAAATGATGCTTGAGCAGTACACCCTCCGTTTGATCGATAACCAGCCGGATATCACATCTACCAAGCCAGAGATGGCACAAGTCGGCGTATGCGTTGGCGAATGAATTACAAAAGACAATAACAATCAGTTTTCTTGTGTGTGTGTGTGTGTAGGTGTGTGTTAAAGTTTGACAGTGAGTGGAAATACTGAAGTGCTATGATAATATTAGTGTATAGGATTACCAGTCACAAACTGATCACATATATATAAATGAATTAACTGAATAAGTAAACAAACAGAGGTCAGCCTAAAGTTCAATAGACGACATGCGTGAAATAGATGATCGGAAAATAAAGTACATTCAGAAATGTGAATATGTGAATATAATGTGATGATGGAGGCGACATACGATAAGTGAAATGTTGTCAAAATAGCAGACTACATAAAAATGTCAGAATACGATAACAGAGTGAAATAAAATAAAACATTAATATATGTGTAAAAACTTGGACACTGTGGTAGTAAGTAATTCCGTTAGTGAAACACTATTATTTACTGGATGACATAGTTTCGAACAAAATTTATTGTTCATAAACATATCATCAATTATAATCACACGACTTCGAAACTTCAGTTTTATAGTTTTCCTTGTTCTCTCCTATTTCTCGTCGTTGAGGTAGTAGAATTCTCCAGATGTCTGGGTGGATAGGTGCTGAATCATTCCTATTACACGTGTTTGCAGTTGATTCAATAAACAGAGCTTCTGTTATCAATCTCTCCTTCCATTCACCATATTACATTAGATTTTAAAACTGTCATCCTATCCCATGCCATTGTATGGTGGGTTGTGTGTAATTGCATATAGCTGAACTATTCTCTAGATTTCTTATCTTATTCGGATCAACCAATCTAGATTTTGCTGCTAGGTTTTTATGTTCGGCTAGTCTGACTCCCCCTGTTCTACTACTATGTATTAGATAAACTAAGTTTTTTTGTTTTAAAGGCTCCACAGGATTGATCCTTTAACCGACAAAGCTTGTTTCTAATTGAGTTTGTGGGTGGTTTGAATGCGAGCCACTTTTATTCCTGCTTTGTTAATAATTCTGCGTAAGGTGGTTTCCGAGGTTCCTTCCTTGTATGGAATTACTACTGATGATTTAGATTCCTTATTGTTGGTGTTGTCTTGCGCATATGTGACATGAATGTCGTCATTAATATTATTATTATTGTCATTATTATTATAACTGTCATTATTTATTTTATTTTTACATTTCCTTACATATTTCCTGACTAATTTATCAAGGTAATTATTAAGTTTCAAAGCTTCTCTTATAGGTATCACTTCCTGTCTTAAATTTTCCTTGGTACTACTTAGTTTTTGTGCTCTGTCATTTAAACATTTCACCAATCCTATTTTTACTGACATAGGATGGGACGATCGGAAGTCTAAATATTTGTTTGAGTGTGTGGGTTTCCTGTAAACACTAGTGTTTAACTTCCCATCTTCTTTCCTCTTTACGTTGCAATCTAACATTGGCAGCTCCCCTTCCTGATTTTCCAATTCATAAGTGAATTGAATTGCTTCAACCTTCGAGTTTATGTGTTCGAAAAACCTATCTATATCTTGTGTTCTAAGTACAGTGAATGTGTCATCTACATACTTCCACCATATTTTTGGGATGGGGGTGAACTTTTCAATTGCTATGTTTTCCTACTTATCCATGAATATATCTGCTACCACTGGGGATATTGGTGATCCCATGGCAACTCCCTCGGTTTGTTTGTATATTTTCCCTTGGAATTTGAATACTCTGGAAGTCAGGCATAGCTGCACTCCCAGCAGCATTACGTCCTCAAGTGACACTTTTGTCCTAAGTTCGAGTTCTTGGTCAGAAATGAGTTCGTTTCTGACTGCCGCTATAGCCATATCTATTGATTTAAGTGACAGAGCACAAAAACTAAGTAGCACCAAGGAAAATCTAAGACAGGAAATGAGGTATATAAGAGAAGCTTTGAAACTTAATAATTACCCTGATAAATTAATCAGGAAATATGTAGGGAAATGCAAAAATAAAATAAATAATGATATTAGTGATAATAATATTAATGACGGCATGCATGTCAAAAATGCTCAACATAATGACAACACCAACAATAAGGAATTGAAATCATCAGTAGTAATTCCATACAAGGAAGGAACCTCGGAAACCTTACGGCGTAGAATTCTTAACAATGCAGACAGGAATAAAAGTGGCTGGCATTCAAACCCCCCACAAACTCAATTAGAAACATACTTTGTCGGTTAAAGGATCAATCCTATGGAGCCTATAAAACAAAACAATTTAGTTTATTTAATACCCTGCTGGAATGATTGTCAGGTCAAATACATAGGTCAAAGTAGTAGAATGGGGTCAGTTAGTCAGACTAGTGGAGCATAAAAACCTAGCAAAATCTAGATTGGTTGACCCGAATAAGATGAGAAATCTAGAGGATAGTTCAGCTATAGCACTCACTACATGCAGTTACACACAACCATACAGTAGAACGGGATAGGATGATATTTTTAGAATCTAATGTCACAGGGTGGAGGAAGGGGGAGATTAATAACAGCGGAGGCTTTATTTATCTAATCAACTGCAAATAGGTGCAATAGGAATGATTCAACACCTGTCCACCCAGACATCTGGAAAATTCTACAACCCCTTCGACGACAAATAGGAGGGGACAAGAGAAACTATAAAACTCAAGTTTCGAAGTCGTGTGATTATAATTGACGATATGATTATGAACAATAATGAATTTTGTTCGAAACCTTGTCATCCAGTAAATAATAATACTGTTTCACTGACTGTGTGATACATCTAATAAACAAACTAATATCGAAAATAAAATAAAATTGAAACATGGAATAAAGAAGGATTAGAAAGTTTTTCTGATGTGCATTACATAATAAAATCAAGATCATGGAGTAGAGAAAACTATCGTACAAATTGTTTTTGTACACAAAGTTCTGGCTTTATGTTATGTATTGCGAAATCCTCTGCTATGCAATATAGCAAATGCACTCGTGTCGCTTTTGGAAAACTTTGTCGACTATATAGTAAACGATGCGTGAGGTGCTGGGCAAAGTTAAACTTTAAGCACCACTAACTACCTATCAGTGAATGACCCCAGACGCATCAATCACTTGAAGGAGGCATTTTTGTGTATGGAATACATATATTTATGGAAGAAACATAAAAACTGTATAAAAGTGTTACAGAGGATACCTTTCTCTCACATGTGATAAAAATAACTCTCAATTTTAGGTTGTAGTATCAACAGAGTATAATTCCATTGTGGGTAAAATTTATTTTCATAAAGTTTCATAGTGTTATACAGTAATATTTACTGAGCAACAAGTTGTGCTCGAAACGTGGTCATCAGTATTTTATTTTATTTTGATTTACAGCTTGATTCCACAAGTGTGGAATTTTCAGCATGGATATCGGTAGCCCAAATTCAGGCCGACCATAGATATCGGGTGTGCGCCGGCAGGGGATCGAACCCCGGACCATGTGCATGGTCGGCGAGAGTCCTAACCACTGTGCCACTTACTGTATAACACTGTGTGACTTTATCAAAATGAATTTTACCCATAATGGAATTATACTCTACCGCTACAGTGCACAAGTTCTATTCTTATATCAACAGAGTAATTTAACCACATTCTATGCATGTAACAATAACCCTTATCTTTCCTAAACCCAACTCTAACATGAAAATATCCCTAAACTAACTGTAATCTAACTTGAACCAACCTTAATGTGTCACCTTTATTAGGTTAACCAAACCCTAACTTGTCCTTGGCTTTAACCATAAGTTAATCTTTCCCAAACCTAAGCTGAAACTTGTCAGATATCTGATTTAATATTCTAACACTTCGATGAGCATGTTTTATTGAGGGTGAGAACACTATTTGCCAGGTTTTACTAACTTGCTCAGTGAGCGTTTCAGGGTCACATTGGTGTGATTACACTCCATTGGTAGTTAGTGGTGCTTAACGTTTAACTTGGCCAGGTGTGGTTTCGTCGTCAGTATCTACAATATATATGTTGCAATATTGATGAATAAATACCTCTACGTTCTCCTTCATGTCGGAACAGTCCAACTGAGAAGCAATCGGCATAGAAAAACAGTCAGATTATCGGCATGCTTAACAAAATCAGCTCCATACGAATAAGGCATATAAATCATGTAAAAAGGATGAAAACAGGAAAGTACTGGCTGAGAAACACCAGCTAGAGTATGTGAAGCAGTGGAGGAGGACTTCCTTTTATAAACAGTCTACTGCATTTTGATATTGAAATATTGAAATCATCATCCAGAGAAAGCATTTCAGAAATCACAAAGAACGTCGTCTAATATCAGAAGCCCTTCATATCATCAAATAGGATCCAAATTGTCTGAATAGAAATGGTGGGCTAAAACAGAATTTCACCTGGTCACAACACCTTCCTCCCCCATGAAGTCAAAAAATCAACACGGATGTGATAAGCAATTTCACTATGTAAACACACGCTGCTTTTATAATTTTACACACTTATCAAATCCAACAGTCATCTACACCTGGTTTTGTAATCTTTACCAATTGGCCAACTTGACAACACCGCAAAAATTCCCCCATGCTGAAGAACGATGACTAAATTGTTATATATAAGCTGAGTGGATTTTGTAAATTCTGGTTTAATAATACCACTTTGATAAAGCTATTAGCAGCAGCATTAAATAGCGAGACGTCAGTGCAAACGTGAATATTATTATTATTATTATTATATTTAAGCTTCGTTATTACTATTCCTTTGTCTCACACCTCTGTTTACTGTCTGTATTTTTCATTTCCTTTTACTTTCTTCTCTTGCTTTCTGTGGTACATGGAGGGAGTGTGGCGACTTGAACTGCCGCACATATGTACAAAGTTCTATGTCGAAAACAGACAGAGAGACAGTTCGTAACACGTGCGGTCTGGAAACTTTATACACCTACAATGTGTTTATAAGCAAATTGTTTATTTTAATCAGCCTTTTTACTTTTCATATAAACTGACATGACAAGTGAATGTGTGTGTGTATGATCAGATTGTCCTAAATTTATTGCAAAATTGGATCTAATATTATGACGTTATCGATATTGAATTGAACTTTTTCGTCTGACTATCTAACTGTCTGTCTGCCTATCTGTCTATTTGTTTTCTTTCATTCAGTCCTTATAGAGAGAGTAAAACGTTGTATAAAATACGCGGAAGATGTGGTCTATTCATTAATGATGGTATGATATTAGATCGTACACGATATTTTAGTCCAAAAAGTGATAAATGCCCATTGAATTATTATATTACTGAAATCAACAATATCAGTAGTGTACGTCTGTTAGATGAAGAAATTGTCAAGTTGATTGAACGCGTGAATTCACCGTTCACTCTGCATATTGTACCACAATGGTTTTATGAATATCTTGTCTATGGGTGAGTAATGTATATTCATTCTTTTGTCTTCCTTTTGTGTTGGTTATATAAATGTTTAAAACAATTAGTTCCCTTTATGAATTTAGATTTGGATATCCAAAAGCAATAAGAAGACGTAATTTGTCTGAATCGTGTAATGTATTTGCGCAACACATTTCGAACAATCTGATCACACACGGACTTGTCATAGGAATACATATGAAATTAATAAAGAGGTAAGAGGTGAGAAAATAGACTACTTAGGTCAAGTTTATAGGACATATTCAAGGTCAAAATAACAATGAAGACCACTAAACCAAATAACAGAGGTAATAGTACATCTGCTATGGTGTCAAAACAAAATTTACCAAGGAAGGTTTAATGTGATGACGTCACATCCCACTGTATTTACCAATTTGAATGTACGTGTGGACACACACACATACATAGGGAGGACTCATCGATCTCTGCAAGTAAGGGCTTCAGAGTATATTCCAAAATGGCTCCAAAAACAAATGGAATCTTCAGAACCCATTAATCGTGAGAACATGATGTCTAGCTCCTCTATTGCGAAACATATTACACAGGAGACAGGGCATAAAATTGACGTTAACAGATCTTTTAAACCTATCTATAAAACGTGTTTGGGGCGTATCCTAAAGTTTGTGGAAGCCCTAGCAATTAGAAAGTTTAAGCCACCTTTATGCGTTCAAAAACAATTTGTCATCACATTAAACCTTCCTTGGTAAATTTTGTTTTGATACCATAGCAGATGTACTGTTGCCTCTGTTATTTGGTTTAGTGGTCTTCATTGTTATTTTGACCTTGAATATGTCCTTTTAACTTGACCTAAGTAGTCTATTTTCTCACCTCTTACCTCTTTATTAATTTCATATGTATTCCTATTACAAGTCCGTACATGACTGATCAGATTGTTCGAAATGTGTTGCGCAAATACATTACACGATTCAGACAAATTACGTCTTCTTATTGCTTTATATAAATGTTGAACGTTTTTTGATGTGGTTGTGTTCTCTGAGCTAGCTGGATGGTTAATTTGTGAAGCTTTCATCGTCCTACTAGGCAACATCTTCAGCGAATACTTCAAATTTGATGAAGTGAGCTTTTAGATTTCTCCACGAGTTTATTAATCATCTCTCCTGGTGGGTGACCTTGAACGTGATTGGTTGCTTTTGTGTGTTTTCACACCTTCTAGGCTACTTGTATTGGTACTGATTGTTTCTTTGATTTGAACTTTGACCCTTTGTGTGTGAGGTTTCTTTCTTATCGGTTGATAAATTTAGTTTATCTCGATGTGTCTATTGATTGATGATTCACTGGAATACCAGGCTTCTAAAAACTCTCTAGCAATCTTGTTATTTCCTCTGTCTAGTATTTGAACGTTGGTTGTCCCAGTTGAATTGATGCCCGTGGTTGTCTGTATGTAGTGATATGAGCGAGGGAGTGGATGTCATGTCGTTTGACGGCTAGCTTATGTTCGTGGACAGGAAGACGAAGGGGACGCCATCCACTTCGGTCAATGTAGTGTTTTTCTCAGTTGTTACAATTTATTTTGTAGATGATGTTGGTTTTATCTTCTTTCGTTGTTGAGTCTTTTGGTTGACATAGGGCTGGCTGGCTGAGTGAAGTGATTTTGTTGGTTTGTGTGTGGTGTCAATTCCTAAACATGAAAACACACGAAAACAACCAATCAAGTCCAAGGTCACCAGGAGAGATGATTAATAAACTCATGGAGAAGCCTAAAACCTCACTCCAACAAATTGAAGTACGCGCCCAGGATGGTGCCTAGTAGGGGGTAATGAAAGCTTCGCAAATAAGCTATCCAGCTAGCTCAGAGAACACAAGCACATCAAAGTCATCCACCTGACCTACAAATCTTCTCCATCATATGTAGAACTTTGCATAGATGTGCAGCAGTTCAAGTTACCACTCTCCCTCCATGAAGCACACTAAGCGATGGAAGAAATTAAAATGAAATGCGAAATAGAGACAGTAAACAGAGATATGAAGCAAGAAGAATAGTAATATCGAAGAACAATATAGTTTTATTGGATATTATAAATCACAAGGAGTAGATGCATCTGCACCAGCCATTGAGAACGAGAATTTTGAGCCAGGCATATCACCAATTGTCTCCAGCCATTGTTACTGGATTTTACCGTCCCGAGGACTCCAACCATCAGTCAGGAGTCTACACCTTCTTACGTGGCTTAAAGTAACTGTTGTGGATTTAGTTGACTGATGAGGGCATGTTTTGGTTCGACCACCGCTAGCTCTTTTCCAGTTTGATCCTATGTCAGCTAACAATGTGGGTTGAGGAAGGCAATAGCTTGGTATGCACAACATATGTCCTATCCACAACCTCATCGATTGATCTTCTCTTCTTACCTAGCACTCGACCGACGCCTAACCTCAATATTGCGCATCCTATTATACGAACTAACACGGTAGATGATAGAAGGGAGACCCTGTTGATCAAAGACACATAGCCTTTTCGTGTCCTCCAATTTCACTGGCCATGTCTCACTCACCGCCATAAAGGAGGACGGAGCGAACTGGTGCCGTGCAGTTCACGTGTCCTTTGATCGATAGCCAGCCGGATATTAAGTTGGCAAATATGCCACACGAACCTTTTGTATCCGTGGTGAGATTTCATCAGCGACCAGTTCACTGGCGTTGGCTGATGCAACTTCGCAAATAAGTGAAGTGGTCGTCAACACGCTCTACCTGTTTACTCCCTATCTTTAAGCTAAGAGTCTATGCAGCCCAGTCAGTCCTGTAGCATCATCTTACATTTGACAAGGACGACGAATCGCATGCCAAACATTCGAAGATTGCTTCTCCTCAAGGTGTTCAGAATATTCATCTCTATTCCATCTGCGTCTTCAACCAGAAGAACTGTGTCATCCGGATATTTGAAGTCAATGAGAATACTGCCTGCTAACAAGTCATTCCCTGAGTTGCTGAGGTTAAGGTTAATTCCATTAGCGTACATGTATGATGAAACTAAACAGAAATGGGGATAGTACTGGGCATTCCTGACTGTAGACACCATTGATTGTCATCACAGTTGTCGGCTGAAAAATCTCCGTAGTCTCTCAATTGGCTGGCTGCATGAATTCGAGTAGAGCTGCTTAGTCAGTGTGATGTATTTTCTCGGCACTTCCTTCACAGCCAAACATTGCCATTTTACGCCTTGCTGACTGGTGAGTATCAACAGCAAGCACGAAACCTAGGCTTTAGGCTTCCTGACGTCGTGATGATGAGCCACCTAGGATGGTGACCACTGGTTAATTGCAATACAGTTCAATACAGTCAGTCCTGCAGGAGGTCAGCCATGAGCCTGAACAGCCTAAAGTTAAGATCTGTGACTGTAGGCAGCACTCGTTGACTCAGGTGAGAATCTCAGAGACGCGACAAGAGTTTCTTCGAGGTGGTTGCCAATACGCCCTGCTGACTGGTGAGTGTCAACCAACTAGCATGTAACCTAGGTCAGACAGGACCTCCTGTCGATTGCTTCCAATCACCTAATATCATTGTTACAGGATTCCATCATAAACTGACGTCGGTTAGAGAACCACCGGAAAACTTGTGGGGAGTACTGGACAGCCAGCTGTTTCGTCCTTTGTTAGGACTCTTCACAGTGCGCATACGCCTAGGTTCGAACCGAGGACCTTGCAGTTACAAGACCAGCTATCATTGGGACCTGATCCAATGGCCAGCCAGCCGATGAATTCCAACTCCTGCCAATTCATGATGTAGTGTGACCAACGGCGATTGTCATTCGTGGCGATTATTTGTCCTCATATCCGACCTGCTGTGCCCCACCCCCACTGGTCATGACTTCTCACTAGAAACCACGTAACTACCCACTTGAATCGGGCCAGTCGCTAGTGGGCATCGGATTGATACTCAAGTATTGGTTTGCGGGTGCGTAATCTTAAAGAGTCACAAACGAGGACGAAACGACTGACCATCCAGTACTCCTAGAATTTCCAATAATTCTCTAACCGTTGTCAGCTCATGATGATACCCTGTAACTAATCAAGTCCCCGCAAGTAAAACTACTTGGTTTTTGAAACTTTTATTATTTATGTATGTGTACATAAATCTATACCTTGCTTTAATCATTCTAATTTGTTTCAAAATTCTTTAGATTGGATCCATCCTGTAGTAGTGATGTAAGAAAGAAGGCTAAGAAGCATCTGGTGTCTTTCAATTGTTTTCGCCAGTCGAACAGATGTGATGATCGATCATCATGAAGTATGAATTATTGATCGCTTTTCGTCTCATTCATAGTGCACAACACTTCTTGTCACACACACCCTGTGTGTTCATTACTGCTTTCTTTTATTTTTTGGTAATGTTAACATTTCAACGCGCCAACCAAATATTGTGCAATGAATTGCTTTATTTCCCGCCTCGGCCTTCTTCCCTGTCTCCCTCTCTACTGTCTTCGGTACGTACATCCGTCGCATTCACCATTAACATTCTCATGTCATCATTTGAGCGCCATTCATACCTATACTTTTCTCTCTCTATCTCTCTGTTTGCCTATGTATTCAGTTCCTCATTCTGCGCCCCCCACCCTCGTACGCGCCATCTTCCACCCGTGTGTGTTAACAGTTTATAATAACCAGTGGTATTATTATTATTTACGCATTTCTCTGCTACACAACAATACCTAATGTTCATGATCCTATTTCCTGGAGACCGTCTTCTCAAATCATTTATTTGCCTTGTTTTGATGCTTATTCATATAATTTGTAATTTTTGGTTGGTTAGTTTTGTTGTTGGGATGTTGCTGTTTGTTGTGTGTGTGTGGTTAGAATTAAACTTTTGGTTTGGTTTGCTTCAACACACTGGTGGTTCTCTTTTGATTTAATTCAATGCGTCGGTGGCACAGCGGTCAGGACGCCTGCCGTCGTTGTACTTATTTTTCGTTTATAAGTGAAATTCCTGTCTGCTAATCCAATCAAACTAATTCGTTTTACTTTTAATTAATATTTCTTGACAGCATGGTGTTTTACTGTAACAGTTAGTCATGAACTTTCGTCAGCAACACAGATATAATCATAAATCTTTGGTTTGTATTAAACTTGGAGATAACAAGGAATAACACTATTATTATTATATATACTATTATTATTTCCTTTAGTTCCTAGAGGAACATAGGGCTTCAGCCATGCGTCTCCATTGCGTTCGGTTCTCTGCTAGAGTTTTCACCTGGCTCCAAGTCTGCCCATACGCTTTCAATTCTTCTTCACATGATCTCCTCCAAGTCACCCTTGCACTGACGACCAACTCGTCGCTTCCCTTTCGGGTTCCACTCGAGGGCTTGTCCAGTGATGTCACTTGCTGGTTTCCTCAGAGTGTGGCCAATCCATCTCCATTTCTTCCTGCCTATTTGTTTCACAATCGGTTCCTGCTGTGTTGGTTCGCTCATTGCCAGAGATCTCTGTTGCTGATCTTTTCTGGCCGGACATCTGATCTTGAGTATTGAGCGAAGACATCTGTTAATGAAGGTCTGTAGCTTGTTTGAGGTGCTCTTTGTGACACGCCAAGTCTGTGATCCGTATAGTAGTACTGACTTCACATTGGAGTTGAAAATCCCGATCTTATTTTTGACGCTGAATGTTGTTGACCTCCACACAGACTTGAGAGTAATGAAAGCTTGCCTTGCTTTCTCGATCCTTGCTTTGATATCCTCGTCAGTTCCGCCTGTAGTTGAAACAATGCTTCCCAAGTAGGTAAAGGAGGTAGTTTCTTTCAGGTTCCTTCCATTTATGCTGATTGCTGTCTGTTGTTGTTGCTGTGGCTGTTGGTGTTGGCCAGGAATCTTCATCACCTCCGTTTTCTCTATGTTCACCTGGAGTCCTATCTTTGATGCTTCTTCTGCCAACAAGGAATAACACTAGAAGAGAATAATTGTTGGTTAGCCATTTTCACCCTCTTTGTTTTTTCTGTGTGCATTTGAATCTCTGTCTACAACACTTCTGCCAAACTGTTGGTTTTCGTCTGTAGATCTTTTAGATCTGTGACATTAGAAATTCAGATATCCTAGGTTCTTGTTGTGAATACAAGATGCGCATGTCTTCTCACTCCTCACGGCCTGTTGTATGATCCAGTCCATCACAATCACGAATATTATCAGTGAATGCAAGCACTCTTGTCTTATTAATAACTTCGCTATAGCTGTGTGCAATCAATTTTCGTTGTATTTTGGTTGAATGAATTTCACTAGACCATATTGGATGTAGAAGTGCCACTTTCAACCTGCAAACTTGAATTTTCTTCCTAAGAAATATTTTAGATTAGTTAAACACACAAACAATTCCGCAATAATCATGTAGAATTACTTTACAACATAATGCCAAGAAAATACATTACACTGATCAAGGCACTCACTCACTCTACTCGAACTCATGCAGTCAGCCAGCCAGGTGAGAGCTTACAGCGAATTGTCATCTGAAATGGTGATAACTAGTGGTATCCAACAGGGATGCCCACCACTATCCCCATTTCTATTCACAATTTGATCATAGATGTACACACTAATGGACTTAACCCTAAGTGACTCCAGCGACTCAGAGATTGATTGACCTGTTAACTAACACCAGGGAATAATCTCGTTAACTTAGAATATGCAGATGATATAGTCCCCCCCCCCCTCCTAGGTGAGATGAAGACGCTGACAAAATAGAGCAGAGTCTTCTGAACATCTTGAGCTGCTATCTACGAATGTTTGCCATGCGATTCGCTCCCGTCAAATGTAACTTGATGCTACAGGACTGACTGGACTACATTGACTCCTAGTTTACAGATAGGGAGTGAAGTAGTGTTGACCACCTCACTTATTTGGGTAGTTGCATCAGCCAGTGCCAACGTGTCGATCACTGACAAAATCTTAGCACAGTTACTGAAGGCCAGTTTTTTGATATGCCAGTTTACGCCGTCTTTGCCTTAGTAGACGTGATATCCGGCTGGTTGTCGATCAAATGACGTGTTGTGTACTGCTCGGCAATTCGCTCCATCCATCGTCCCCTTATGGCTGGCTGTGAGACTTGGCCATTGAAAGTAGTAGAGGACATGAAAAGGCTAGCTAGCTGTCTTTGATCATAGGTGTGTCTGTGTTCTATCTCCCGTGTAAAATGGTAGGTGTAATAAGGTGAACAACACATTTAAGCGAACAATATTGTTTTCAATTAGATCTCGTCAGGCTTAACTCTAATATATATAAGTTTACAAATAAAAATTCAAATATAAACCAATCATGGCGTTTTGTCTATAGGATAATACGATGGTGAATATAAATTGTGCAATTAGTCATAATAGTAGTAATGATAATAATAATAATAATAATAGTAATAATAAAAATGGTCTTATCAATAATAAGGATGAAAAAGTGAAGCAATCTGTGATAACACGAATAATGAAAAACGGCATGATTAAACAAACAACTGTTCAGGTGGAAGTAGTCGATAAAGGCTAGTAAAAACAAATAAACCGATTAAGTAATGTTAGATTGTAAGGGAAGGAAATGAAACCCGTTTATAATGAAGATAAGATTAAGGGATGATAAGAAAGGGGTTGAAAATATAAACAAAGGGTGGTGTAGAAGTGATCAGTTGGTTATGTCTTAATAGGCCAAGGGAGGGATAATGGCTGTACGAACTTTTTTTGAATACACAGTTTAGGTTTAATAGTTCGAATGCCTATCGCCTCAGCTGTGTGTAGTAGACGAATACGAAGTCTATTGGAAAGATTCGGTGGGATACGATGAATCACTTTGAAGGCTCTCGTTTTCTCGATTACATGACCACTGTCAATTAAGTGTGACAAAATTGAGCTAGGATTGTTTTTGTCTGTCCTTTGCCAAACCACGATGGGAGATGTTCAGTAGTGACACGTTGGCTAAGCTGTCTAGTAGTAGTACGCCCAATATAACTGTCACCGCAGGTGCAGTTGAATTGATAAACGCACATAGATGTGGCAAAAGAATCTAGCTTATCCTTCGTTTGCGTCCCAATCATTCCTCTGCTAGAGAATGACAAACATAGGTGTGCAGCATAAAATGTTCTTCGTATACTCCTTGAAAGTCTTTGGAATAGGATCTCACTAGATAAATCACCATTAAATTGTAACTTAATAAATAGAGGTTTCTTATGTGCAGTCAGAGTCTCCGGTTTTTTCTCCGATATTTTCATACGTTTCTTTATGAAGCTACTCGGATAGCCCATCTCCGTCAAGGAATCGTGAATATATTCAAATTCCTTTTGTAAGAGGTCATCTGTACATATCTTCCTTGCTCTGCTCGCAAGACATTTTACAACATTCCTTTTATATTTAATGAGCACGTAACTAAGGAAGTGTGTGTATTGCCCTGTGAAAGTGCTTTTTCTAAACACGCTTCGCCCAAGGTGAGCTATATTGAGGTTAGGCATCGGTCGAGTGCTAGAGTGGAAATCAATAGACGACTGAAATAGTTAAGGCATGTGTTACGCATACACAACTAGTCATCTCCTTCCTCGACAAAGGGGAAATGTTAGCTGACTGACATAGGATTGATCAGGTTGAACACACACGGGTTCTCTTCTGATTTAATCCAATTTAGACTTCCATCAGTTGATTGATTGGATTGAAGTACTGGAACTCAAGTGTTGAAATGTGGGTCAGCTCCTTGTGTGGATGCAAAGTAGCCCAGAAAAGACTGATTGGTTTCAACATAGAACTCTGCACCGATGTACAGCAGTTGGAGGCGCTACACTCCCTCCCTCAATGTAGCACACAAAGCAGGAGGAGAGAGTAAAGACAGGTTCAAAAGAGACAGAGATGATAAGCAGAAATATCAGGCAAAAAGAATAGTAATATGGAAGAACAATACAACTTTATTGGATATTATAAATCACACGGAGTGAATGTATCTGCGCCAGCCATTGAAAACGAAAACATAGACACACTTTTAGGCGTCCAACAATCGCCATATTTCTTGACTTGAAGGCGGCCTTCGACTCTGTGGATCGAGAGGTACTATGGCAATGTTTGACTGTGAAGGGAGTGCCAAGAAAGTACATTGCACTAATCAAGGCACTCTACTCAAACTCACGTAGCCGTGTAAGGGCTTATGGGGAATTGTCATCTGAATTGATAACAACCAGTCGTGTCCGTCAAGGATGTCCACTTTCCCCTTTTCTGTTTAACTTCATCATAGATATGGTAATGGAAGTATCCTTAACTGAACTTAACGACTTAGGAATCGACTTGTTACCAGGGAATAGTCTTATGGACTTAGAATATGCAGATGACATAGTCCTGTTAGGGGAGGACGCTGACAAAATGCAGAGTCTTCTGAACACCTTGAGCAACAATCTTCGTATGTTCGGCATGCGATTCGCCCCTGTGAAATGTAAGATGCTGCTACAGGACTGGACTATGTCAACTCCTAGCTTGGTGATAGGGAGTGAAGTGATAGAACATGTTGACCACTTCACCTATTTGGGAAGTTGTATCAGCACCAACGGATTGATTGGTGACGAAATCTCAGCACGGATCCAAAAAGGTCGAGCTGCTTTCGCTAACTTACACCGTCTCTGGCGTAGGCGTGACATCCGGCTATCAACCAAGGGACGTGTGTACTGCTCATCAGTTCACTCCGTCCTTCTCTATGGCTCTGAAACATAGCCAATACGAGTTGAAGACATGAAAAGGTTGACTGTTTTTGATCATAGATGTCTACGATCTCTTTCTCACGTTAGGTGGTATAATAAGGTAAGTAATGTTGACGTTAGGCGTAGAGTGTTGGGCAAAGAGGGAAAATCAATCGAAGAGGCTATGAAGTTACATATATTGAGATGGTTAGGTGACGTGCTGCGCATGCCTAACCATCGCCTCCTCCGACGGACGGGCATTACTAGCTGATATAGGTGCAGGTTGGAAAAGAGTAAGTGGTGGCCAAACAAAAACATGGCCTCATCAATCCATGAAATCCCTGACAGTTAAACTGAGTCAGGTAGGGAGGGAGATGCAGACTTCCGGGTTGGGGCCCGCCCTCAGGACTCTAAGAATCAATGGCTGGAGACAATAGGTGACATGGCTCAAAATCGTTGTCAATGGCTAATGCAGAT